TCCTCCTGGACTGGAGGGGAGCAAGCAGCGCACGTGTGGGGTGTGTGTCCCCGGGCGCTGCGCCCCACGGCCATGTGACACGAGGTGCCCTATAGCACTCACCCTCTCTCCCTGTGCAAACCCTGCAGAGCCTTTTCTCACTGGTGTGGGGTGACACCCATAAGAATGGGGAGCGCCGCCAGGATGGCCAGGCTGATTCCCGGTGGGGGCAGGTCCCTAGCTTTCTCTAGAAAAGGCCTTGGAAGGATGATGCTCTGACCGCCATTGTCCTGATGTCATACAATTAGCTGGGGGAGACACGGGTCCTTGCCATGTGTCTGAAGTCCAGGACTCTCGGGGGAGATGGTCACGGGGCCCCGATGCCGGCTGGGCCCTCCACAGACCCCGGCGGGCTCTGCCTCTTCCCTGGGGATTGGTGCTCGGGGACAGCGGCTCAGCCCTGGTCTCAGGCAGCTGGTCACTGAGAGGGACCCCGAGGAGTGTGGCGGGAGGGCTGTGTGCATCGTGCCCCCGAGCCACTATGTGAGGGGCAGAGAGCAGGGGCCCTGACTGCACCCCTGCATGGGGCCAGGGACTCCGCAGCTGGACTCGCCGCCCATCTTGGCCCCAGGTGAAAGCTTCCAGCTGCTTCAGGAGAGTACCAGGGGCTCTGTGGAAATATTACCCTTCAGTCACGAGAGCATCCAGCTCGGAGTGACGGACGCAGACCCCAGCCCTCCAGCTCCAAGGCTCTGTGCCCCCCACCCGGTCCTGTTCTGGGCAGGGAGCCCCCTTAGCTGGTCCTTCTCGGGGTCCAGCTGGGGGCAGGGGTGGTGGAGAGTTTCCTGGCTGTGTTCATCGGTCCCCGCTGCGTGCGGCCCTAGGCCCTACGTGGACCAGGTGCCACACCACCCCCTGCATCTCTCACAGGAAGATGGTGCTTCCCCAGCACACTTGTGTCTGTGCGCAGGCTGGGTCCTGAGGCAGGTGAGGCCGGGTTGCTGGTGGGCCGGAGGACCCTCCCTCCGATCCCGCCGCCGCCCTGTGTGAGCGGGCATCAGCGCGTCCCTGCTCTGTCTCCGAAGGGCTGTCCTTTCCCTCGAAGGCGGTTCCCTCTCCTGTCCTTTCTTGGAAGTGTCCGTGCTGCCCCCATCAGGCCCCTGTTACTCTGGGGCTGCCCTGATCTGTCTTCAGCCCCGTTCACATTCACGGCCTGCCCGAATGTTGTTCTGGCAAATTGGCCTTCCAGCAAAGGGACCGGGGCTGTCTAACATGCTGTGTCTGGGACTCAGCTCCCCGCGTCTCGGCTGTTCTCCCTGATGCCCGGCACCGGCGACCACTTGCCGCTCTCCCGAGACCAGGGAGACCAGCCCTGGCCAGCCATCGCCTTGCTGTCCCTCTGTGCCCGTAATGCCGGCCCAGCACCGTCAGTGTCCTGATCGGGCTGCCTGCACGGTGCCCACGGTTCCCGTTACGTTGTTGACACGTGCCTGGGCTGAAGCAGTGGGAGACTGAGGCAGAGCTCCTGTCCCAGAAACACCTAAACGTCCACGTGGAGGGCAGCCTGGAGCCTCAGCCTGAGGCCCTCAGCTTTCGGGGCAGAGTGTGCGGGTGGCACGGTGAGCTCACACCCCTGCCTGGCCAGCAGCAGGTGCACGGGGCCCACACTGTGGCCGCAAGCCTGTTCACGAGCAAGACGTATTCGAGAGTGCTGGGTGCCTGGTGGCCTCTCTGGGGACACAGGGCAGGTGGGGACACGCCGAGGGAGAGGGGAGTGGCACCACCCCAAGGCCAGGCCGGCGCCCTGTCAGAGGCCCGGGGTCGGTGCAGCGGCTCCATTTCAGTCCCCAGCGCCCGTCTGCACAAGTCTGCTCTCCCCGGGCCCAGGGACAGGCACGGGCAATGTGGTGGTGACCCCTGATGCGCCGCGGGCCAAGGCACCTCCCGTGGCACACGGCTGGCTGCCACCAGTGTCCCCAGAGGCCAGCAGTCAGCCACTGTCGCTCACGGCCCCGTGCACTGCCCTCCCCAGTGCTGGAGCGTCGCGGAAGTGGTGACGTGTGGCATGAAAGGTCCCTTTGTCCCTGGGATGTGGTGGCCAGTGCTGTGCCTCCGACCGCCTCCAGCAGGAAGTGGGCTCAGGCAGGGTGAGCTAAGCCCAGCAGCAGACAAAAGGCGTGTGTGCTCAGCAGCGGCCCCGCAGTGCCCTCGGCCAGCCTGGCACCCGGCACGCCCAGGCTGCCCCACGGCATGGGGGAGGGGGACAGTCAGCGACTGCTTGTGTGTGCACGCACGTGTGTGTGCTTGTGAACACAAGGTGGGTACGTGTGTGTGTGTGTGCACTTGTGAACGGACAGATGGGTACGTGTCCGTGTGTGCTGTTTGCATGCCCATGGGTCTGTGTATTCATGTTTGCCTGTGTTCACACATTTCACCATGTGTGTATGTGTGCACGCGTGTTTGGGTGAGCAGGCGTGTATGTGTGTGGTCAGATGCGTGGCAGCAGTGTGGGCGGGACTTGTGGCCCTCCTCCCCTGAAGGCCGTGAGGACCCATTCCCTGTCCTGCCTTTCTGGCCTGTGGCCACGCTCGCTCATGGTCACACCGTGCTGGGGGCCAGGGTTTGGGGCCACGTGCTCCCTCCCTCCCACGTCTCCCCGCTCGCAGCTGAGTGCATGACGGTCAGGAAGGCGTGGAGACAGCAGCCCCACACCGCTTCGAGAGAGGTGAGCGAGCCCAGTGGAACTGAGGGTGGTGTCGCGGGATGAGGGGCCTCGGCCGTGGGCCTGGCGGGGGCAGGAGGCTGCCGTGAGGCCTGCAGATGGGTGAGTCCCAAGGTCAGCGTCTGTCCCTCTCACGCCCTCGGTCCACATGACTGCAGGTGGCCCGACCGTGAGGGCTGTGTGTCCGTGCGCGTTGGCGGGCCGAGCCTGGGCCGGGTCCTTCCAGCGACACCTTCTCCTCCGCCCCCAGCTCCGTGCTTCCCCGGGGGGACAGAGCACCAGGGTGAGCACACGGTGCTGCGGGAGGGAACCCAGGCCTGGCTCCGCCACCTTCCCGCATCACCGCATGTCCTGCAGACCAGGCCGCCCAGCACAAGCCAGGACCTGCCTCCACACGTGCAGCCCCGTTCAGGATGGCCCAGGCCCGGCGTGCGGGGCCTCGCAGACGGTGCGACCTCAGGCTCCCCGCCTGCAGAACCTCATCGCCTTCTTGCCACGGGAGGGCACATCTGTCCCTGAGACAGCCGTGTTCCCGCTCTTGGACCCTCAGGCAAGGACTGGGGCGGCCCCGGGCCTCCCTGCAGGCTGAGGGTCTGCACCACTGGCCCACTACGATGGCCGTGTGCCCCTGGGTGGGGCTCGGGGGGCACAGCTGGGGAGCGTGGCTGCGGATGCTCTTCGATCCGCCCGTTAGCCTGCTCCACCCCACTCCTCATGGCTGATCCCGGGGAAGCTCCCCCTTTACTCGTCAGGATCGTGGCTCAGACGCTCCGGCAGGGTTTCCAGGGATTGGGCTGTGTGTGCTCCATGCCCGTAGCCTCTCTGTGGGCGTAAGGGGTGCACCTGCAGGCACACAGCAGGCCTTTCGGGGCATCTGTTACTGTCACAAAACGGTGCATCTGGGAAGACGATGCTGCTTGGGGCTCCGGCAGGGGTAGGAGCAGGGTAGGAATGAGGCCCCGGGGATGTGTTGGGAAGGCGCCGAGCTCCTGTGCCGGCGGCCCAGAGAGGGGCTCCCGCCTGCACCCAGCCTCCCGCCCCAGGGGTCCCGCCGGGACAGAGGCCGCGCCCCGGTGAGCAGAGCCTGGCGCGTCCCCTCTTCGCCTGGGGAACTGTGCAGGTGCTCGGCTGGCGTGTTTCCCACACCGACTTCCCAGCAGAATGAGAAACACGGCCACGGGTGGGTCTCCGTCGCGTCCCCGTCTGCCAGGCTGCGGGGACAGAACACCGCGGGCTGGGCGGCCTCCGCAGCAAACGTTGGCCTTCTCATCGCCCTGGGGGCCGGGAGGCTGAGAGGACGGGCCAGCCGGCCCAGGTGCTGGAGGAGGCCTCGCACGGCCCGGTGTCTCTGCTCGCGAGGGCCCTGATCCTATCAGATCGGGACCCCACCCTCAGGACTTGACTTAACCTGAAGGATTTCTATAAAACCCTGTCTCCGAGGACCCCCACACCAGGGGTTAGGGCTTCGCCATGTGACTTTGGAGGCATAGTCCTGTCTGTGGCACGGCCTAGAAAGGAGCTGGTGTCAGGGGAATGAGCTGCTGTATCCCCTGGAACGGCCCCGAGACCCACACTGTGGCTGGCCAAGCTCTCTCCTGGCCCGCTCGCCTTTTCCCGCCGCCCCTGAGGGGACAGTCCAGCATGGCGAGCGCGGGGCAGGTGCCCAAAGACGCATCTGTCCTCGCACGGCCTGGACCCGGACTCCACATCTTCATTCTTGGGAAATCGCAGGTTTTGTGCCTTTTCCAGCAGCAGCCCGGAGTTGGGGAGGATGCGTGTTTGGAAGCATGCATGTTGACGACTTAGCTTTGAGCTGAAATAATGTCTGGCCCGTGGTGGGCGTCGGATCTGAGCACCCAGACTTTGTAACTGGAGTCTCTTCCTTCTTGTATCAGCCCCGGATTTATAAACGTGCAGCTAATCAGTCGTACGTGCATTTAGAAGGACGTGCACTTGGTCCTAATTTGGAGAACAGCCCGTTGTTCTGCGGTGGTCCTTGAGTGAGGGTTAAGTGAATACAATCATCCTCTGTTTCCGGACATAGCCTCTGCTTCTAGGCTTTTCCGTCAGGGAGGAAACCATCCTCAACACCCCCTGCTACCACTTACTGAGGGGCTGGTGGCAAAGCTGGACCTGGGGAGCAGCACAAAATGGGGAACCGGGGAGGAATAGTGGCCCGGCCACCCCGAAGGGCACCAGGCTGCCCACCGCCCTTCCCACCGCCGTGTAGGAGTGAGGCTGCTGGTGCCACCCAGGGCCCCCGTGAGCAGCGGCTGAACGGCTCTCTTCTCTCCCACAGCTCGAATCATCAAGACAAAGCAGTGGTGTGACATGCTCCCGTGTCTGGAGGGCGAAGGCTGTGACCTGCTGATCAACCGGTCAGGCTGGACGTGCACACAGCCCGGCGGGCGGATAAAGACCACCACGGTGCGTACACAGCCCCCCTCACTCCTCACACCGAGAAGGCGAGCAGCCCTGGGCAGTGGGTACCCTTGGGGAGGGGGGCCCCACGTCGGCAGTGACGGGGACAGTGGCAGTGGGCTTCTTGGTGCGGAGAGGCCTCCAGCCTCGCGGCCTCCCCTCTGCACCCCCTCACCCTCTGGGGCCAGATCAATCTGTCCCTGGGCTCCGTCAGACTGTCCCTGCGACAGGTGGGCCCAAGGGCCAGGCAGAACACCCTGAAAGCGTCCGCCCAGAAGGTAGCTCAGCGCCCACACAGGGTGGTTGGTAACACTGTCTCGATTCTGGGGTGGAGGGTGTGCTTACAACTCCAGGCAGGAGGACGGGTTAGGACCCCCTCACGGCAGGTGAATCCTCTCCAGAGCAAGGATTGGGGAGGGGCGTGGTCCTCAAGGTCGGCTCCTACCCTGGGCACCACATGGTGGCCATTCTGCGCGGAGACCCTGAAAACCCCCGAGGGCGCCCTGGTCCCTCCCAGATCCCGCGGAGGGGCACACCCTGTATGCTCTGTTCCAGGAGCCGGGACCCGCGGGTCCCCGTGGCTGCTGACCCACAGGTTGGGAGGGGAGGGCAGGAAAGGGGTCCTGGGGCCGCTCTCTGAGGTCCCTTTTCCAAAGGTAAGTTCCTCAAGGCACACGCTCGATGATGTGAGCCACGGGAGCTGGGGCCTGTGTCCCCTGGCTTGGGCGCTGGGACTCCGCAGACCTCGGCCCACACGGCGGTGGCCTCTCCTCCCCCCAGGCTGATCATCACCCCAAGCCCGGCTCGTCGTCATGAGCTCCACATAGAAACCGAGACCTGAAGTGGGGTTTGATCTCTTGGCCCTGATTCCTGCCTCCGTGACTTGGGAATGTCCAGTCAGGGAGGTCTGGGGCCCCCAGGGAAGGATCCGGAAAGCCAGGCTGGCATCCGAGTCTCCTCGCAGGGTTGCTCAGAAAGGTGGAGGCTGTAGCCCCTCGGAGTTGGAGCAGAGGAAATCCGGCGCGCTTCCTCCCTCACCACATGCCGGCCTCTGCAGGCAGCCCCGGCGGGCCGTCCAGCCACGTGTCCAGGGGGCCTAGCTCGCGCAGCTGCTGAGGAGAGCACAGTTCGGGCCCCTCGGGGGCACATTCTGAGGACGGGCTGTCTGTTTGTGGCAATCAGGTGGTTCTGCATTGACGGCAGGTGGGCAGGACCCAGGGGCACCTGCCGAGCACGGCTGTCAGCCGAGAGACAAGGGCGGCCAGAGGGGGCCTTCCCCAGCATGCCAGCTGCCCAAGCCGTGGCCAGCACAGAAGCAGGCGATCCTGTGCTCGCACCTGTGACGTGTGCGGGGATTGCCAGCTCATGACCTGTCAGCCGCCTGGCGGCTCTGAGGGAGCCTGGGCGGCTTCTGATGTGAGGCTGCCCCCTCCAGCGGCATCCAGGAGGCAGCTGATCTTTCCGGGGTCCCCGTCTGTGTGCTGGTCCCAAAAGGCAGAGACCTGGGGACAAGCAGATCCTACACAGCCAGGGTTGCCATCCCACATCCCTGGGGCCTGTGGATCAGTGTGTGGGTTCCCTGCAGGGCCCACGGCAGCCCTGTGGGCAGGACATGCCAGGTGATGGAGTCTTTGGAGTGAACCCCTGGAGGAGGGGAGGCTTGGGGGACGTTCCAGGCTGCCCACCCACAGCGGTGGCCCTGGGACGTGGCTATGGGTCCGGCCTGCACTCCAGGCCCCGAGCACGGTGCTGGGGGTAGGCAGGCTGTAGGAAGTGGCCCAGCAGCAACCCTCATGGTCACACAGGTGAACTGAGGCTCCCAAGCCCTTCCCCACTCCCGTGCTCGGAATTCCCTGCCCTGCAGGCCCTCTAGCAGGCCCAGCATCTGTAGGCAGGCTCTGTTCCTTGATGCATCCCCCTTGCTGCGGCCAGTCCTGTGGCCCCACGGGCCCAGGAGCTTGCGACCATCGCCTTGGTCTGACCGCTGTGAAAACCACAGCTGGTAGTAGGCCACGGAGACAGCCTGTCAGTCTGCTGGGTCTTCCCCCCTCAAACGTTGGGTCTGGCTTTGCACGAGCCCACGGATCTTTGAGCTCTGAAGATCGATTCTCCCGTCTGCCCATTCTCAGGGGAGCCTGCCCTGGGGGGCAGCCAGCATGCCACAGCTGGTGCTCGGGCAGATGCACCTGCTGGTCCAGGTGTGGGAAGGACACCTGCTATAGGCTCGGGGCAAGTCCAGGAGAAGTGCCCACTCTCGAGGCTCCTCGCCCCCCATAGGGGTGCACACCTAGGGCACGGTGCCCTTTGCAGTGTGGAGGGCGTGTGCGCTGAAGATTGGGCTGGTGCATCCCGTGGAGGGGCTGTGTGATGATGCTGGCGGCCCGGGGTCTCCCCAGGTGTCTGCAGACACATCTCTGGCTCTGACAGCAATCCTGGTGTGCGGTGACCTGTTTGCAAAGCTTTCTTCAAAGGTCATTCGAGCTCTTGACCCCAACACCGTGTAACTGGAGTGTATATTCCCATTTTCGAGTTGGCATCTCGATTCCGTTACAGATGCTGGCTAGCCCCGCGATTTCCCATTTCACCACAAGGAGGTTTTCCATGAGATGGGCTTTGAGAGCCCTTGTGATTGTTTAGCCATGTGACTGCCCACACCACCGCAGGGGCCACAGCCGTGTCTCAGTGGCACCCCCCGCCGACCGTGTCACGCCCCACTCCTCTGTGAGGGCCACGCTGCTCACGTCTCTGCGCCCACCAACCACCCACGGCAGGCACTGTGCCCGATGGGCACCCCCCGGCCCCTCGCTCAAGGCCGACATAAGAACGTGCGATAAATTACGTGGTCGCCTGTGAAGAGATCCCAGGAATGCGCTGATGTTTGCATTTCTGAGAGCGCTACTCTTCAGAGGACAAGTCTTCACCCCATTAGTGGGTCATGAAATTAATTTACTGGATCATCATCTGCATTTGAGAGAGGGAGGAGGAAATTAAGTAAAAATATCAGAGAATCCCATGTCCTGAGGGGGAGTCCCATTTAGTGAAGCTCACACGTCTGCACAGGCTCACTAGCTGGACGTGGTGACTCCTGCAGGTCACAGTGAATCGTGGGGAGCCCACCATCCTGGGGGGCTTGGGGGAGGATTTAGCATCTGTGCTGGCTTCCCAGGCTCTGCTTCCCACGCCCTGTTGGCCCTGTGGACGCTGGTCTGAACCAGGAAAGGAGACGCGGGGGATGCTGCAGGCTTCACCCCAGGGTGCAACAGTGCCCTCCCGTGACGCCCCCAGAGACGGTCTCCCCTGAGCTCTGCAGTCCTCCGCTGTGCCCACTGATGGCGGGTGGTGTGGGTCCCCCCCGAGAGCAGAGCGCTCTCCTGCCCTCCCCATACCTCTCGTCTCCGCAGATGTGAGCTGCTGCGGCCGCGAGCGGCATGTGCCAGTGGCGATCAGGACGCCGTGATGGGTAGTCGCTTTGCCACACTTTGTAACGTGTATGTACTGCAAGGTGCCCGGCATGAGCTGCGGCCCCATCTCCCAAATCAGAGTGGACCAGCTGGATGGGAACCCATCTTTCCGAGGAGCATCACGCACCACACCTGAACTCCGTACTGTGTGAAGGCCCCGTTGTGGGGGGTGAGGAGCGTTCATGGGGGTGTCCGTCTAGTTCTGTCCAGGAACTTGGATTTCCTGGGAACTTGTTTCCCCCAAACCACACTTCCCAAGAGCAGGCCCTGCCTGGCGGAACAGCAGCGGCTCCCCGAGCACCTGTGTGCCCAGCGGTCCCAGTCCCAGAGGTCAGCGCTCACCGCAGACTGGTTCACATGACCGAGAAGCACTCAGGTGGCTTATGTTCTCATTTATTCCTATTGGGCTCTGCTGATGAGCATCTCCTGCAGTGCCGAGCGTCTCTGACCCCGGATGTGTGAGCTAGTGTGGGGCAGGCTGGGGGCCACTGCGCTTCTCCACCGTCCTGGGGATGGCTCGCCTTGTCCAGGTGACCAGGAGGTCTCTGCGTTCTTGGATTCCAAATGTACCACCCGAGGGCCTAGCGTGTGCCAGGTCTAGCCCCTCTGAGTGCCCGGGAGGGTGGCTCTGCCAGTCAGCCACCACTCAGGTTCCTCGTGCCAGGCCCGTGCCTGGGGCAGACATGCAGGAGGAGCGGCACATGTGGCCCTGTGTGCCGGGCCCCGAGCGCGTTGGGCCCCAAGTGCTGGACCCTGAGCGCTGTGCCCGGAGCGCCAGACCCTGAGCCCCAGACCCCGAGCACTCGACCCAGAGTGCTGGACCCCGAGCCCCGAGCACTGGACCTGGAGCGCTGTACCCAGAGCCCCGGACCCCAAACGTTGGGCCCCGAGGACTGGGCCCCTAGTGCCAGACCCTGAGCCCCGGACCCTGAGTGCTAGACCCGGAGTTCTTGACCCCAAGCCCCGAACACTGGACCTGGAGTGCTGGGCCCCCAAGTGCTGGACCCCGAGTGCTGGACTCTGAGTGCTGGGCCCTGAGCACTGGGCCCTGAGGTCTGGGCTCTGGATCTGAGCCCCACACACTGGTGCGGAGATTCCTACAGGGACTCTCTGTAGAAACTTAGCAAACGCTTGTTGTGGGCTCCCAGTTAAAAGAACAGAACATATGTGCCTCCCATTTTTGCCGTCTGGACACCCCTATGAAGTGACAGGACATGGAAAGGAGAAAAGGCAGAGCATGCAGGAGAGGAAATGGCAGGAAGCAGACGCTCTCGGTGGATGAGCTGGTCTGGGCCCCGCACTCGGGTGCTCGGGAGTGGGGTGCAGGCCCTCTGGGTGGCCTGCAGGCAGGGCTGCAGGAGAGAGCCCAGCCCTCGCAGCCGGCCCCGCGGCAGACAGCCCCACCGGGGGCTCACACCAGCGAGGGGAAGAAGCCTGCTGACTCTGGACCCTGCCACGCCAGCACCAGCAGGGAGGACTCTTCCTGAAGACCCAGGTCTTGAGATGTGCGGCCCCTCAGCTCCCGGAGGGGCCGCTGCAGCTTCT